ATTTTTTTAACTTGCTGTTACACTGGGTAAAGCCAAATTGTGGAGGATTGCAGAATTGGAGAAAGTTTGTTCTTTGAGCTTAAGGGAAGCTTAATTATGTGCCTCTATTAAGAAATTGTTTGCCTACTGTCCACAGGTAGACAGAGGAAGTCTTTTTACTTCTTAAGAGGAAGTACTGTTTCCAGGTGCTCATTATAATGGGGGGGGGGGTGCGGTAAGGGTGGGGGGAAATCATGAGGCATCCAGTCTCATCATCAAAGGCTCTCCACAGGGCAGTGCTGCTGACTTGCATTTGTAATCGATGGATGCTACAATTCTGGGTCATTACTAATTCTCTGTAATGGATCCAAATGAGTGTGGCTTAATTTAGAGGAAAGTGTGCTAAGCCCAGGCCTGTGGGAACTCTGCCCCAGGCTGACAGCTGGCTGCTCTGGACCAAGATGGCAGCTCAGTGGCCCGAGGCAAGAGCTGGACAGCCCCGGCGGCCCCTCCCTGCCTTTGACACAGGCTGAGGGGCAGGAAGAACCTGCTGACTTTTCCTTTCTTTTTTAAACCAGGAATCATTAGCCGAGAGGATGCGGAAGATCTCCTTGAGAACATGACCGAGGGAGCATTTCTGGTCCGGGTCAGTGAGAAAATATGGGGCTACACTCTCTCCTACCGCCTGCAGAAGGGGTTCAAGCACTTCCTCGTGGATGCCTCCGGGGACTTCTACAGCTTCCTGGGAGTGGACCCCAGTCGCCACGCCACGCTCACCGATCTCATTGATTTCCACAAGGTAGTGCTCTTAGCGGAGCCGATCAGGGGATAAAGCTGGTAGAAACTTGAGCTGCAGGGAGAGCCAGGCTGTAGGCCTTCTATGAGCTGGGGATGGAGAGTGAGCAGACGGGGCCACAGGGATATGGAGTAGAAGAGATCAGAAGTTGTCCAGACCAGGCAATGCAGGTCTTCTCTCTGGCTTACCCTCTGACCCATGTAGGTGCCTCAGGAGGGTCTCCAGCCCTCCTCTCACCTTGAGTACCTGAGTGCTCCCTACTGTCAACACACAGGGGCTGGTTGGCCAGCCTTCTGTCCAAGACCAGTTCTCATCCCCGATTCATCTCCAGGATATCCCTCTTGGGGACATTCTAGAAAGGCCTCTTGCAGTTTTGTAGAGTTAGCTGAAGCCTAACAAGCAACCCCATGGTTAGAGAAGCGTTCCTTGTAGAGTTGCCATATCTCTTGTTCCAACTACAGCTTTACCAGGGAGTACGTGTGTGACCTTGGGCAGCTTCCTTAGTCTCTCTGAGCTTTAGTTTCCTGCCTGGGCCAATGGATGTGATAATACTTAGCCCAGATCCTCTGAGCATTGAATGAGGGATGTACTTGTATGTACCAGGACTCTAAGTACAAAGTGATAGGGAGTCTCGTTCCCCAGAGCTCTTTCTGCTGAGGACCTCACATTGAGAAAGATGCTGCCTTCTAAATAAGATATGTAGAAAGAAGCAATTTCTGTGTTATTGTGGCTACTGGCATCAACAGTAACTGAAAGGAAGACAGGTGGAACTCGTTGACTTGGAAGGGCAGGACCCAGGGATTCTGAGACAGAGCTGTGGTACCTCAGGGGTCCACCTTCTACCTGAGCTTTGCAGGTGTAGAAAGTCCTGCAGAACTACTTGACTGCCTCACTGGGCTTTTCTATAATAGGGACTCTTGGATTTGTGTTGCTTTTTCTTTATGGTTGTCCCCAAGCTCTAGGGACAACTCTTAACCTGATCTTATCTGTAAAGCACATAGAAAATCACTCCTTTCCCAATACCTAGACACTTGGAGGAGAGTACTGCCTGGGAAACTAGGCGGACCCGGATCAAGGCAGAGTTCTACTTGTGTTGGGAAGAGCCTTCTAATAACTGTAGGATAGGGAGAGGGAGGGGATGTGAGAATATTGGCACCTTGTCTGTGTCAAGCGCTGTGCCTGTTGCTCTAAGTACATGTTCTCATTTAATCTTCACCACAGCTCTGTGTGGGAGGCACATTAGTCCCATTTCACAGATCTGGAAAGGGAGCTTGAGAAGCCTGTCTAAGTTTTCATGGCTGATACAGCTGGGTCTAGGAGTTAAGCCTCAGGCCGTGTATCTCTCAAGCTTGTGCTTTTCCCACGAAACCACATTGCTTGCTTTTCCTGTCCAAGATAAGCTGCTTTGAGCAGCGATGAGCTCTGTGTCCTGGGAAGTAATCAAGCAGAGGGTAAATGCTCATCTCTCAGAGATGCTGTGGACAGGATCCTGAATAGCAAGGCTAACCCAGGTGTCTTTGAAGGTGTTTATTCTCTCCCAAATCTAAGGTTTGAGACTGACAAATTTAGTTTCTAACACTGAAGAGAGAGCTCATCTAGGCCCATGTGGAGATCTGGTGGCCAGTTTTACAAGTTAAAATTTTAATTATACAATTAATTTATGATTACATTCTAAGAAACATCAAATATAATACCAAGTGTAAATGTTGTTCATTTCAAATCTGAGTTTCCATCCTCCACCATGTACCTATCCAAGTATTTCCTGGGCATTAATACAGAAATGTATGTATAAAAGGACATACACAGTTTTTTTTTTTTTATTTTTTATAAACTGGACTAGAGGCCCAGTGCACGAAATTCATGGACTGGGTGGGGGGGGGGGAGGTTTGTCCCTCAGCCCAGCCTGCACCCTCACCAATCTAGGATCCCTTGGGGGATGTCCGACTGCCAGTTTAGGCCAGATCCTTGCCCTCCCTTCCCGGACTGGTCACCCCTAACTACCCTCCCCTGCCAGCCTGGTCACCCCCAACTGCCCTTCCCTGCTGGCCTGGTTGCCCCTAACTGCCCCCCGCCCCCCTGCTGGCCTGATCACCCACAATTGCCCTCACCTGCCAGCCATCTTGTGGCTGTGGGCACCGCCATCTTTGAGGGCGTGGCAGTCAATTAGCATATTCCCTCCTTATTGGCTGTAGGCACTGCCATCTTTGAAGACAGGGCAGTCAATTAGCATATTCTCTCCTTATTGGCTGTGGGTGCCACCATCTTTGCGATGGTGTGAGGGTCAATTAGCATATTCCCTCTTTATTAGATAGGATAATCCTTGTCTAATAGCTCAGCAATTCGATTTTAAACGTGCTTAATATATTATAGAATATATTTTGTAAAATCATGGACCCTGGAATCAGGCTGCCAAGTTTTAAATCCCAACTCTATGACTGTATGTGACTTTGGGCAACTACTCACACTCTTGTGCCTTAGTCTCCCTCTGAGTAAGATGGAAATGTCTCACGAGATGTGAAAGATATGGCATATGTGCTACCGATCCCTGACCCAGTGCCCAGTGCACTCACCTCTTAGGGTCACTGCGAGGTTCCAGCGAGACATCACTGTGAAGTACTGGATCGATGTACCTGCCGTTTGTGAGTTATCAGGACACTGGCTGTCATTGAGCACTGAGGTGTCTCCATGCCAATCCACATGCACATCCTTGTAAAACCCGTGGCATTCCATGGCATGGATGTATATTACAATTCAGTTTTCCCTCCTCCCCCCCTTTTTTCAGATCATGAACATTTTCTTTTTTAAAACAAAATTAAATTCTTTATTGTTGAAAGGATTACTCCCTCCTCCTTTGGATGAGCACTGGTGGAGCTTCCAGGTTTTGATGGTCACACACAGCACCGCAGAGACTGGCTCGTATATATCAGTTTGGGCACATGTGTGGTGATTTCTCTAGGATGGACCCTCGCCTTGGAATTGCTGGGAAGAAGACTATGCACATTTTAATTTGAAAATATCTGCCAGATTGCCTTCTAAAAATGTAGCGCCAACTCATGCTCCTGCCAAAACTACACGAGGCTGTGTCCTCACACGGCTGCCAGCACTGGGACTGTCAGTCATTTACATTTCCCCCATCAGATGGGCAGACACTGGATCTCACTGCTGTTTAACTTGCATTTCTCTGATTACCTCTGACGCTGAGGCTCTTTTCATATGTTTAATGGCCTCTTGGATTTCTGCTGTGAATTGTTTGTTCAGATCCTTTGTCCATTTTTCTTCTTAGGTGTCTCTTTCTTATTGATGTGCTGGTTCTACCAGCGACTAAATTGCTCTGTAGTTATGTCCGTTCTGCTCTTCAGTTCTTCTGTTGAGATTTTCCTTGTGATTTAAATGTGGATCCTTGTCATGTCCAGGCATTCTCTAATTGGTTCTTTTTGAATAATAGCCCATTCTTGTTTCATGGATGCTTTATCTTCTTAGTCCACCCAGGAGATTAATACACATCTCTTAAAGGTTCTTTCTGTTTGTTTTATACACTTGATCTTTTCCTGAATCGTAATTAGGAGCCCATCCTTCTCATCCCAAGCATTTTGATCTTTATACTCCTAAAGTTCTGTTGTTGAGGTTGCCATTTTTCTTTCATGGTTATGATTTTCCTTAAATAGTTACAAATTTTGAGTGGGGAGGTGATTTCTCAACTTTGAGTTTCTTATTTATCCATCAGTGGATACAGTTCCTGTTTCCCAAATCCGTTCTCTTTATGCTGTCAGGGTTGGAGTTGATAGTGAGCAGTTCATCTTTTGGAGATGGGAGTGTTTGAAATTTGTGGGTCTCTTTGCCCCCCTAAGGAACTGTGTGCCTCTCCTTACTCTCTACCTTGCCTGAGACAAAGACCTCTGTGGTTTGGGGGTCCCCAACCTGTCCACTGACACTTGCCCCACAGTAACGCCTCTGAAAACCTCATCCTGTATATCTTTTGGTTTTTAAGTACTCCTCAACATTTTTGATTTGTTGATTGCCTTTCTTATTTTCCCATACTTTTATGCATTTATTTATTTTTTAAAAGCAGATTCCCCCCCCCCCCCGCCCCCCGTGATTTCTCAAAATTTGAATGAGGAGGAGGCAGGTACATATTCTTAGTTTTTCTATCTTGAATTAGTTTCTCTCTGGTGGATGCTTATTTCCCTTTGTTGATTATAAGTGAATATTTCTATTTTTTTTTTAGGAGGAAATCATCACTGTTTCGGGGGGAGAGCTGCTGCAGGAGCCCTGTGGCCAGAGGGACAGCCCGCCAGACTACCATCTGCTGTTTGAATGACGTTTCCCCCTTAGCCACTGGACTCCTTTAGGCATCCTTTTTTTTGAACCCAAGAACTTCTCAGCTCAAATCCCTATGGCCTTCTGGAAGATTCACCACCATCCAGAGGATTAAGTAGATTAGAATGTCTCAAGAGATATGGAAGATATGGTCTATTGTGCTGTTGGCCCCTGTCCCATTGCCCAGGGCAGAAATGGCTACTAGTTGATGCAGATCTTTCATAAAGAGTTTGGATAGGTCGTCAGAAGATGAAGCCTATTTGTTGTGGCTGCTCTAAACTCAGCTCCCAGAGCCCATGGATCATGTTTTTATAATCCAAAATAATGCCAGTGCCTAACTCTGAATTCAACATATGGTGTCCATTCAATAAATGTTTGTTGAATGAATGTACTTTTTCTGAAAGTTTTCAGCACTAATCCCTGATTTCTAGTAAGTGATTTCCTACTTGTCACTGTTTATAAAGTCATGGAGATGATAGAGGAAGCACTGTAAAGGATTTATGTGGGAAACATAGATGCTGCATCTTTAATGATGTTCATCATCACCTCAGTGACATTATCAGTGGAATTGCTAAGGTTTCTGAGCCCCAGCTTCTAGAGCAGGTGACTGACACTCCCCCCCCTTCCTTACTCACCTCTTCTTCTGCCTTCCCTCCTCTGTCTGAAACCACATCTTGGCCCTTGTTTTGCAATATAGAGGCAATGGTGTTATATGTTCTTATAGCTGTCCCCCAAACCTGGGGTGAAGTATAATTTAAGAACTGTCTGTAGACATCTGGAAAGTTCTTTGTTCTCTAGGATTTGGCCCTTTTCTGCAGGTTACTCAAATGATTACCTTGCCTTCATAGTCCTTTTATTTATGATTCTATTGTCCACTTATTTTAAATATGTTCTTCCCATTAAGAAGAAGACTCTCCCAGTAACATCTCAACTGCTCTGAGGGATGGGGTCTGTGTGTGCACATTCACGTTTCACACTTGAGAACATATACACAGACACGGCATTGTGTTTGGTGAGAGTAAGATGAATGGACTCTGTGGATGTCAATGACCTGGTTTACCTTACTTGACAGGTGTCAAACATCCCTCATGCTCTACTTCACCTCTTGCCTCATCTGTTCTTCACATCCTTGACCTCTTGTTTCACCCCAGGCTCCACCGCTGCAGCCAATGTTGCACGAACTCTGCTCTTCCCACTGTGTCTGTCAGCTGCATGTGAGCATACGCCAGCAGCACCTTGCCCTGTGCGGTGCTCTGGGCCTCTTGTCTGCTGTTGCTGCAGAGGCAGGAGACACCATGCAACCAAGAAGGGCTGGGAAGTGAACTCTCCATGCGGTGAACCTTTATCAATGGGAGACAGTGGCTGATAAATCAATTTTCTCTCTTTCTCCTCCTGGAGGGACTTTTCTAACAGTCCTGCATGATCAGCAACTAGTCCTAGAGAAGCCAAGCGGTGGTCAGATCAGTGCCACACCCTCCTGTCTGTTCTTCCTCTTTCGCTGCCTCAATCCCCTTTCTCCTGCTCCCCTGGGATTGCACTCCTGAGTCAAGTAGCAGCAGGTAAGCACTTACCGTAGGCTCTGCCTGTTGGGGGAGCCGGGGAAGGGCCCATCACCCAAATGTGTTTAATAATACCACTTGCACTCTGCCTCTACAGCTTCCCTCCACGGCTTCCTAAACTCTAAAGTGCTTTAAAACCATAGCTGATATTATTAAAATTACCTCCTTTCTATGGGACTCAGAGGAACCGAATTTTAGCTTTGGTTATACTACCTACCCACCGCCTGAACGCTCGGTAGAACTGAGAGGAGAAAGCTCTGTGTGGCCATCGCTAAGGTTTTTGGCAGATCAGTTCAATGATGAGTTTCTTGGAATCTCTGTCCAAGTGAGAGGTATTGCTAATTGCAACACTACAACAGCGACAATTATTTTGTGCTCAGCAGTGAGGTGGCCAGGGGAGAGGATGTGCTGAGTTTCCAGGTGTTAGAAGGGAGTTTTAATTCCAAGAAAGAGCAGCAGCTTGGAAAGCAGACCAAGCTGGGTTGAGAACCCGTGGCTCTGTCACCCTAATTAATATGTGAGAGACAGTAGCCAAGCTGTCCGTGCCTAACACCTTGGTTTCATTTTACTTGGGGTCTGCACTTACTGCATTCTCATATATTTTAGGTTTTACCTGTCCTTAAAATAAATTTCTTGTACGTTGTCCTGCAAATAGAATTACATTCTGGAAAACTGCAATTTCATCTTGAGAATTTTAGTATGATAATAAATGTCAGGAGTCTCAAATAAAGAAATTGCCTTTTTTCCCCTGAGCCCTACAGATATAATAAAAAACAGCCACTACAAGCTCAGGCAGGGAACACTTACTATCTGCAACCAGAAAGAGAAGTTGTAAAGAACACTAACAAGTCAATGGAAGATACATTTCAAGGGACCAATGAGGAGCTTTGGGTACAGACTCAGGGAGGTCCCTGTGTGGCGGAGTGGGGAGCTGTGCCCTGGGGAGTGGGGTGTCTCAGGAACACAGGCTGAAAGGGGACACTGAGAGTGAGCCGTTGGAAAGGAGACGTGGACACGAAGACCTGGCGCCTGGGGACTGTGTCCCCTTTTGTACCCGTGAGCCCTCCGTTACCCTCAGCGCTAAATTTGGGGACAGAAAGACCTTTGTTCTGTGACCTCGATTTTCTGGGCACAGTTTCTTCTGTGAAATGGGGTGAACAGTGTCTATCCCAGAGGGTGGCTGTGAAAGTAACGTAGTGTGAGCTTTTGTAATAGTAACGACAGATACTATTTCAGCTCGTGCGTGTGTGCCTGTGTGCGTGTGTGTGTGTGCGCGCGCGCGTGTGTAAGTCTCACAACCATGCCGAGGGAGACAATGCTGTCATCTCCATCTTGCACACGGGGAAACTGAGGCACGGAGAAGCTCAGAACTTCCCTGGGGCCACTTTTCTGGGAAGTTGTATTTTATCAATCTGTGTAGACCATAAGCCAGTCTTCAAACTGAGATGTGCAGATCAAATGCGAGATGATGTTCTTAAGATGCAGGTTCTCCTTCCGCTGACGAGGGTGGGACTTGAGCTCTGTGTGTCTAACAAGCCCTGGGCGCTGCTGCTGGACTGTCCCCACGGCCTGGACCGCAGGGCTTGCGGACGACAGCGTGGGCCACCCTCGGCCTCTGCCTGCGTTTCCCAGAGCGAGCGTGGTTCTCACATTTGCAAATGACTGGAAGAAATTAAAAAGAAGAATAACATTTTATGACCTGTGAAAATAAAGTTATATTACATTCAAGTTCCACTGTTCACAAATAAATAAAGTTTTATTGGAATACAGCCATGCTCATCTGTTTACGTCGGGTCTTTGGCTATGACCTGCAAAGTCTAAAATATTTATGATGTGGCTTTTTACAGAAAAGGTTTGCTGACTCCAGCTTCAAATGATGGCGCATAAATTAGGAATTGTCCTGCTTTCTTTCTCTGCTTGTTAAAAGTCTAGTTGTAGGAAAGATTCCAACACCATCATTTCCACTTCAGAGACAATCAAGTAACCGTGTTCCGTGTTCCAGCAGTGCTCTCATTTTAAATTTAAATCTCATCTCATTTCTACTGACCAAAAAGGAGGCGTGTTTCTTAGTGAAAGGATTTTAAGTGCAAGCGGGTCCTGTCGCAGGTGTAGATACTTTGTATGGGGTTAGAATCCTTTGCTACCTGGAATCTATCATACTTTCCGACACTTACCTGTGTGTACCTGTTGCCCTTCAGTCTGTGAGGGCCTGGAGGTCGACAATGCATGTCTACCTTGGGTTCCATGGTGCCCGGCACAGAGAATGTTGACTGCCATTTGTTATAGATCCAGGACAAGTGGACTGCAGATTTCAAAGCTCTGCTTTAACCTTCAGAGGAGCCCTGCTGGGAAAAGCCCCGGCGGAACCCACTCCTTCCAGTTGTCAAGGGGAATAAACAAACAACCGAACAAATAGACAAACAAATGAGGCCAAACAAGTCAAAGACAACTCTGCTAACAGCCTGAGATGGGGCGCTGAGACTTGAAGCAGCAGCCACATCTTGACAAAGGTCCCCTGACAAGCGAGGCAGACGCAGAGGTCCCCTTCTCCGCAGTTTCGCTTTCCGCGGTCTCAGTTATCCGCGGCCTCGTGTGGTCAAACTGAAAGTCTAACATGGAAAATTTCAGAAGAAAACAATTCATACGTTTTAAATTGTGAGCTGTTTGGAGTAGTGTGATAAGATCTCGCCTGCTGGGACGTGGCTCATGCCTGTGCCCAGCGTTCCTTGCTGCACGTGCCCCTGCTTACAGTGACGTGTAGCCGTCTGGCTGTCAGATCCACTGCCGTGTGGTGTTGCAGGGCCTGTGTTCAAGTAACCTCTACTTTACTTATAATGCCACATTCCCATAACCTTTTATCACGGTATATTGTTATAATTGTTCTATTTTATTATTACTTATTATTCATCTCTTGCTGTACCCAATTTACAAATTAAACTCTATCATAGGTATGTACGCGTAGGGAAAAACATAGTATATATAATGTTTGGTACTATCTGTGGTTTCAGGCATGCACTGGGGGTTTGGAGACGTATCCCTCGAGGATAATGGGGTTACTGTAAACTGCCCTAGGCCATAGCCTGCAAGGGAAACCGCCCACCCTCAGCTCCTTCAACCAGCTATGCAGACCCATCCATTCTAATAGGACATCAGATGAACTGATTTAATAGTAACTTTATGAAATTTGTTTATTGTGGAAAAATAGACATAAAATCTACCATTTTAACATTTTTAAGTGTTTAGTTCAGTGGCATTAAGCACATTCATATTGTGCAACCATCACCGCCATCCATCCACACAACTCCTCTTGCTACACTGAATCCTGGGAACGAAAAGATCACTCCCCATTCTTTCTCCCCCAGCTCCTGGCAGCCAGCATTCTGTGTCTGCCTGTACTAATTGGATGGCTCTAGGTACCTCATATAAGTGGAGTCATACAGTATTTGTCTTTTTGTCACTAGCTTATTTCACTTAGCATAATGTCTTCAAGATTCATTCATGCTGTAGCATGTATCAGAATTCTTTTATTTTTTAGGCTGAATAATATTCCACTGTATGTGTTACCATGGTAACTAGTTAGCTAATATTAATAAGAGAAAGAGGAGCAAAGGGAAGGCCAGACATCATGGGCATGGTCATCTGGGCAGCTGCCCCAGGAAGCTGCAGCTCTACTCTCCCCAGGGAACTGCATGTCCATTCCCTGCACTGCGGGGTGGGGTCCAGCAAAGGGGAGATGGACGCATGCGTAGTGAAGTCAGGGTGCCCTGCGGAAGGTGCTTGCCTGTCAGTCTAACCTGGGCACAAAGAGCATCGTCTAGAAGG